TAAATATCTGTGCATATTAATCACTTATTAGCATAATTAGTTAATTTCAGCTTTTCACTGATATCTCAAGTACTAATCATCACATTTCAATGAGACTTGCGACATTTTCTAGGACTATGCAGAGACTGATTAATTTTGGAATAAATAATTGTGCCTATTAATTACTAATTTGCATAATTAGTTAATTTTTTGCTGTTCTATAGCTGTTGCACTGATGTCTACAAACCACTCATTGAATTTCAATGAAACTTTTCAAGAGTACCCATCACATTTCAATGAACCTAGGACTATACACCATATTAGTTTTTGGTAAATATGTATGCTTCTTAATCACTTAATTAACATAATTAATTAATACTGATATCTCAAGTATTGATCATCACATTTGAATAAAACTTGGTACATAAATGCTCTAGGACAATAGACAGCCTGATTAATTTTGGGTTAAAATCTGTTCATATTAACTCACTAATTAGCATAATAATTAATATTTTTTGGGTTCTAATCACATTTAAATGAAACTAGGTACATTGTGCAGACCTTATTAGTTTTACACTTAAATCTGTTCATATCAGTTACCTGATTTACATAATTAGTTTTCAGCTATTCCATCAATATCTCAAGTACAAGTAATTTTGAATTAATTTTTACTGTGTCTTCAATACTCTCAGCACACGGGAGTTCTTTCTAAGCTTTCTTTGATTCTGAATATCTTTGCTGGTGTTCACATGACCTCTTTCACAGTGGAGCCTCTACTATCAGAAACCCTGGTTTATCCAACTTTTTGATGAACTAAACATCCGTACATTGTGTCACCATTATCTTAACTTTCAATCATTCAAACTATGTAGGAGCCTTATATGTGTAATTTAGCCTGAAAATGATGTACTTAGACTGTACTTTATATTACAAAATTGTTGGAAACATTAATTATCATTATTGCTTTGAACAGTCTCCCTGGATTTGTAATTAGAGTGGAAACAGTTATTGATTTTAAAATTAGACTTAAGAAATATATTTGAAAAATATAGAGGATGATACAAGTATGTTTTTGTTTCCATATTATTATGATAGTTATTTAAAATATATCAAGATAAAAGCAAAATCTTGGTAAACCTTCCTGTATGTAAAGAACCAAGTTGGATTTACTTCCTGATTTATTCTTATGTCCATATGTCTATCATTTGTACACTCAGCACAAATCCATTGTATTGCTTGAATTGTAGGTTTGTCCGGTTTGTGCAGCTTTGCCGGGAGGTGATCCAAATCATGTTACAGATGACTTTGCTGCTCATCTAACTTTGGAGCATAGAGCTCCTAGAGATCTTATATCCTTTTTATATTGTACATATTTATTCTATCGAGATGATCTTATTGAAATAGTAGATGACAAAGTATGGCGGTTCTATAGATACTGTGCTCTCCCTTGGCCTTTTATTACAGTACTTTTCCCTACCATTTTTGGCCAGTGAGATGGTGTGGTTATATTTTCATGAAAACAATAAAGGTTATACTTTTATGAGAATGATTATTATTGTAACAAAATGCATCATTAATATGTAAATTAACTTCCATGTTTGTGCATTTAGCTGGGGAGAAAACTTACAAACGTACAAATTCATTCAAAGCAAATTTATAGATCTTCATTGCTGTTTCTCCATAGATGTGCTGCAATCTGTGTATGGATTTTTACCTATGCTTGCAATGTATTAATATAATATGTGTTGTATTCTTAGAACAACTTCCATTAACTTTAGTACAAATTCGTCATTTTCAAACATGGCAAAATTAAAAAATTATGACTGGGAATTATGTATAGGAAATTGACACTCAAACACATGCACAAACAAACAAACAGAGACTCCTATTGTGTGCTTTGCACACAGGAGTCAAAAACTTTCTAAAAGTTAAAACACTACTTGATAAATTTAACTAAATAATTAAAAAAAAAAAAATTGTTTTTCATATTACCTTATTTTTGGCATTACCGGTAATAACCTTTCTCCTAATTCCAACTGGACTATGTCATTAGCAATGACTTGTCTATAAATGAATTATTGGATGTGTGTGAGGTCAATGATGGCATTTTCATTGTCACAATCATAAATTTAAACCTACCATAGATAAACCTAAATACTTTTTTCATATTTTTTCCAGAAATTTGGATCAGATCCTGTAGCCAGTAGGAAATGATGTCCTTTTGCTCCAAAATAAAAAAAAACACCAAAAGATTTCTAAAAATAGACAATGTTTGGGCAGAAAAAATGGTGTTCATTGTTGAAGATTAACTAGAAATGCAGGACATGTATATATGTAGTGTAACATGATTGTATTGGTCAGCTGCTATGCAAGTGTAAAATGTATACAATTTATTTTAAAACACACCAAGTTGCATTTTATGTTCAAGAAAATTACCAACTTTTTACCTTATCATTCACTATGTTTTCCTTGGCACTGCGAGCGGATGACCTCCCGTTGTCATTGGCACTGCGAGCGGATGACCTCCTGTTGTCTTGGATCATTTCACTATCACATTTGCTGTATTACTCTTACATTTGTGTAAATGACAAAAGTGTGTCCATGGTCAAAATAAGTTAATAATCCGGCATACCATAAATGCACTACATAGTATGTGTATGTGCACTTCTAAACAAAGTATTTGTGGGCCAATTTTTCCTTGACATAATTTTTTACGATGAAACTAGTAATACAAGACATGTTAGAAGAATGTTCCACCCTGGTAGAGGGGTGGGTGTGCCAAGGGCTAGGAGAACCAACATGCATTTTAGTGGTGGTTCTGGTCTTTCTAATCAGAGTTCAACATCGCCAAGCAGTAGGGAAACGATGGATCCAATAGCAGGCAAGTCACAATTCTATGCATCGTTGTTGATTTCATTTTTGGGAGAGATCTGTTGATTTTATTCATTTTATGTGTGTTTTCCAGGTACCCTCACTGACTTTCTGACAATAAATTGGAGTACGAATGAGTTTTAATTTAAAATCTGATAATCAAAACCCCCACCCTTGTACTTGTCATTGCCTGGCTGCTAACATAACTAACCAGACAGAAACTTTTATGGTTGATTTTTTTGAAAAAATTGATTCAGAATAATCCGGCTCGCCTTAATAAATGGTTCTCATTGCAACATGTTATACATTCTAAGTGTAATTCATGTCATGAAGTAAAATATTTTGTCTTATCAGACTTGACATGTGGACTGTATATGATATATGGAAATTCATAAATGTTTTCTCTCATAGAATTATTATCACAATTATCGGGTGTTCGTCGATCAGCGGGTCAACCGCAGTCATCTACTTCATCACAGCTACAGCAATTACAGATGCAGCTACAGTTGGAGAGACAGCAAGCCCAGGCTGCAAGACATCACATGGAACGGTTTTCACGGCGACAGGCAGCTTCAGCCACTTTAATGAACCCTTCAAATTCCACAAACAGTACATTAGATAGTACGCCTAGTTCACAAGCAAATTCCCAGTTTCTTTTATCAAGGTATGTATCCTTCATACAATGATAGTCACTCAGGCATCATTTTAAAAATTAGCAGTTTTCTCAAAACTTTCAAACATGCCTGTAACAGGACTAATTAGACCCTGTAGAATTCTTGAATTTTGCAATTCTGCATGTGGTTGTAATTTCATGGTTTCACATATGCCTAGATAAGAATAATGCATCTCATTGCAAAAATGCCTGAATATTTAATGGTACTGCAATAGTATTACGGTAATACACATTCTAAGTGCCATGCTTGGGCTATGAGCTTAAGTGCACACTGCCTCTTGAAATAAGTGAAAACTCACCGACTACAATGTAATTACAAGTATTAATTTTAAATCAATAGACTTTGTGCTTTTGTAAATCATCACTAAAAGTACATATATTTTTACCTAAAGTATATTAAATACTGCTTAGATAGAGAGAACATTTATTAGTGTCGCAACAGTTTTTTGACTGAATACAGTGTATCATAGTGTGACAAAGGTAATGTCATACTGTTACGATGTTGAATAAACAGTCAGTTACATATGATAATTCAATTATCCTCTTTGTGTCTCACACAGGATAAATGATTCGTCGTTGTCCGAGAGTGACCAGCAGCTCCTGGAAGTGGAGCGGGCTGACCATAGTTTGTTTCTACAAGATTTACTCTTATCTACATTAGCTGAGGAAGCACAGTTCCAACGTGAACTGGAGGACGAGAAGTCCTTGCAGCCGAATGAGAACGACGATGACGAAGGTGCCACAGGAGGTGCAACACCTAGTGATATTTTACTGCATTTAGATAATTTAAGTGTTAAAGACAAAGAGCCTCCTCCTTAATGAAATGTACTTCTTTCAACTTTAAGAAATATAGCTATCTTTAGATATTCTCATCTCTTAATTTCTTGTTTTTTGTTGTTTTGATGTTATCATTTTGTTTTCACAAGGCTACGCATTCAGGAATTGTTTTGACAGTAATTGTACATAGTTGTAACAACAAATTGTTTTGACAGTAATTGTACATACATTGTAACAAAAAATTAAATTGTTTCCATTTTTTTGTGAATTTATCACCTTCTTTATCTGTATCTGTGTTGGACCAAAGTAGCATTATTTTCTTATGAGCAAGAAATTAACACAACTTGTAAAAATACTGGGTGTATGTGTACAAGTGTCAGTATCGCCAACTGTAAATTCACAACTTAACATTCTCTCTCTCAATTTGTGCTGCAAAACCAATGGGGAAAATAAATGGTTTTAAATTGTCTTGGGATACTTGTTTTCAAGTATGGAATTGAATAGTAAAGATTATACTATCCTAAAATAAATTGCTGATATGCCAATGTGTTCTGGTATAGTTATTAAGTTTTATATTTGAATTACAGTAAATATAATTATTTACTGTATACATATTAATGAGTTTAAGAAATCAATAATAAAGGTAGATGGGTTGAACAAGTAGATGTGTGGCATAAATTATTCTAACACCTTGTCACAAAACTTGCGTCTCTAGTTCGATCTGTAAAAAGCATTTCACTTTGTCAAACATTTTAATATATATTTAATTTTAAATGAAGGTTAAAAATGTGTGGTGATGCCTTAAATGGAAATGAATGTATACATTAAGATCTTGTTGGAATATATTCATTTAACAAGACTTTGGCCTTATTAATCTCATTGTCAATTGTCAAATTTAAGTTCTTTATGCGTAGCCTTTTCACTAGTTCATTTATCTTTCTTCACTATAGCTGTAGTATGTTTTTTTTTTTAATTTGGGATAACCTATTTTTAGTTGTCTTCAGTTTCCAGTGGTGTTTGATCACAATAAAGCACTGTTGTGTGTTAATGCAACTTCAAGACTTGTAAGAGAGAAAGCACTCTTCAGTCATCGTCTTAAGTAACTATTATGTAGATTACAGTTAATGTAAATAAAAAAACATTCTATGTTTTATGGATTTTCCTCTAATTTTAGAGGAAACTATTTTTTTTTTTCTAATCTGTCATTTGTGAGAAAGCCTTTGCTGCCCAGTTTCTGGTCTTAGATCTGACGGTTCTTCGACACCCTTTTTGAGATTTTCGGTGGAATATTCTATCTTTTGTTTTGTGTGCGAGTGGAATGTATAATGATAATTAGGATGGAAGTAAATGGCAACTGAGAAGAGTTCTTTATTTTTAACATATTAAACTTGTAAATACATGTAATTTTTTTTCCACAAAAGAATAAAAAAAAAGCTCATTGGAATTGAAGACTTTTCAGTATATAACTCCCCTCTGTGTACAATCACAAAAAGTGTCCATTGTTTGTACTAGTAGGTATGTGATTGTAATGTCGTCACATGATTGCTACTGCAAAATAAAATTTCCAAGGTGCTATGTTAGCATGTAGTCATTGAAACATGCAAGTCTTGTGTTTGTATCAATGTATGAGTTATTTGAATGATTCAAGATGTCTGCCTTCTGGAAAAGAATTCATATACATGTATAGCAATGTACTAGCCATGGCGTTGGGAGTGAAGCAAAAAAAAACTGCCATGGCTGGGAATGTTGTGAGTTCGAAAGATTTTGGATTAAGCCCAGTGTCACTTTAAAAGAACTATGGACCTTGTCTGGCCCCCAATTTCTTTTTGTGCATATATCGAAAACATTTCGGGTAACTGGTTTCAAGAGTGTTGCAGAAAAATAGATCCAAAACAGTATGCTGCATTCCTAATTTGCATAGATTAAAATACATGTAGTATTGAACTGGATAGTAGGAGTATGTATCAAGTTTCTCAACTTCATTTGAATAGTGGTCAAACATGTATGGTTCAGAAAAAAATTCTTAGTTCTGAATTGTTGCCTGCTATTCATGCTTGTGCATGCCACTGAATTTTTCTGTTCTCAAACCCTAAAAAATCTATGGAAATGATCTGAGTGACACTTTAATACAAGTTGCAGAAATAATGTATACTGTGATTCTTGCATGTGAAGTTAGCAATGTTGACGAACTCTGAATTTCAGAACTTTTTGGAACGTGTAGAATATCAAAGGCAATTCCATAAATGAATTTAATTTACTTTCGACTGTAGTTGGCGCTGTTTGTATACCATTTCGTGCACGAGAGACAACACGGAAGTTTGGCAATCTTCTGTGATCATGCTAGTTATCTTTAGGGCGTGCATCAAAGTCGCTATCAAGTGTATATCGAAACGTCTGGGCGTTGTAAAGGATGCATAGAAACTAATACATGCCTGAATTGATTGGCAATGGTATATTGATTACGTCATACAAACGTACTTTATAATGTCCATAGAGGGC